TCATATCTATTGTTTTAAAGCAGTTTATAAACTTTGAGTTAAAAAAATACCACCATATGAACAAAATACAAATTAAAAATTTATATATTGTTTCCATTAATAAAATAATTATCTTCAAAATACTGAATTACAAATTAACTTAAAACTTTGCTTAAAACATGCTTAGTTAAAATAATTTAACTATTAAATTTAATATTTAGTTAAAATAATTCTAGGATTTTATAGCATTGTATAAAACTGTAATTCAGAATCTAAGATGGCATTGTCCGGTACACTATCACCTTATGTCCTATTTAGGAAAAAACTCCAGTTAAACTGTGATATGCAGTCTGATTTCTGAGATATTAAAGTATTAATAAATGTATATTTTAGAAACAATGAAATATAGTATTTCATATTTAAAATAATAAAATTTTAACATCTTGAACACAAAACTACCACATACAAAAGTCGAAATTTGGAATTTTTTTCAAAGTTTTTAATCTTGTTTGATCAATCTATGCTGCTGAGCATACATTAACATTTAAAAATTAAAAGCCCATAGCCACAAATGATATTTCCTTATTAAATCTTCTCTTGTGCTTCTACATATCCTCCATTTCACTGACCATTCTTTCACTTTCCACTTTCTTTCCATACATTTCTTTCCCAATAATCCTGTTCTCATTTTTGTTCCTATGATCATAACAACATCCTTTATTTCCTTTCTCAGGAAAGGGTCTGGAGGCAAGCATGGAGAGGATGAAACCTGAAGCAAAATAGCAACAAAGCTTCCTGTTCTCTTCTGTCTGAAGCAGCTGATAAAAGAAATAAACCAATAGACTACAGGAATTTTTTTACTGTCAAAATTAGAAGTGGCTTTCCGTATAACTAAATTTTGAATTTTATACATAAAATGGGGCCCAAAATTCATAAGGGTTAAATGCCAAAATTAGTACTATTAAAACTACTAAGAAAAAATTGTAAGTGTTCCATATAATTTTAAAGGTTCTTTTCAATCTGTGTCTCTCTAGCCATAAAGTCATAACGTCCAACCTAATTTAGACTATAGTTCTCACAGTGACAGGGCTGAGGATAGGAAAAGCTTTGAAGCAAAAAAAGTTTCTGAGCCATAAATACAGACTAAATTAATGTTTAGGTTCTCTAGGGGTTAAGAAAATAATCCTGATGTGATATAACACAAATCATCATATTACCATGCCACGTGAAAAAATATATTTAAACATTTCTTTAACTGTTCACTGAATTAAATCCTATTCCTGTCAATTTCTCACTAAATTAAATTCTACCATTTAACATGATTTTTTAAATCCAATAATATTTCAAAACCAGTATGTTGAATTGCTTTATATTTTAGAAATCTACCATATTTTTTATAAGCTACTAGCTCCAGAATAAGCTTACCTGTTCCATTAAAAATGTTACTTGATAAGGAGTTATTCATTCCAAATGCCTGATTCCTGTTCATTCCAAATCCAGACATACTGGGTACATAGAAAATAATTTTAGATATACAGTAAGAACACTAACTTTCAGATGAAGAAAAACAAAAGTGTATACTTTTGGTCTCCTCATATAAAACAACGTTTCAAAACCAATACTAATTTTATTTGTCTGAGTTTAATCTTTATTTTCATTCGAAAAACTTCTCTAAAGTCCTTCCATGAACAACTGAGAACCAAAACATCTTACATATTTATTAAAAAACAAAAAGCAAATAATTTATATATGAACCTTGAGGAAAACAGAGATTAAGGGTATCATTTTGCATACTTGGAGAGCCAACTTACTGGATACTAGAAGTACCTAACTGCAAAAATATGCAGGTTAGTGTAAGATAATTCTTCCTGAATATTTGTTTTTCTTCCCTATTGGTGAAACTTACTACTATTACTTTTCGTAACTGATCTTCTTTCATATAGTGTCTGTCTTTCCCAACAAGAATATAAATTCCTTATGGACAGAGTCTATGTCATAGTCATCTTTGCATCCTCTGCTCTTTCGCGTTCAGGAAGACACAATAGGCACTCAATAAATGTTTAGTTGACCTGAATTAAATGGTGCTTTTCTTCAGTGTTCTAAATAACACATCATTCTTATCTAAATATAGTTTACCTTTCATCTACATAAAAGAAAAAAAGAAAAAAAACTCTCTATAGCCCCCAATTCTGAATTAATGAATGCACAACTAGTATTTTGTATACAGTTACAAATGCCTCTGGTTTTTAGCATAAGCCTAATAAGCATGTAAAGAAAAACACAAAAAATGAGGCTGAACAAGACCAAATACTTAAGAATGTCAATAGGGGTTAATGTAGATTCTACAATAAAACCATGTACCTTTAACATTAAATAATCTTCTGATTAAAAAAAAACAAATAGCGTACCAGTGTTATGAGCAAGGTTAACTTATTTGAAGATGACAGGGTTTTTTTGTTTTGTGTGTGTGTGTGTGTGTGTGTGCGCTAACTATGGCCGAACAACTTTTTGATAAAATATACAGCTGATGAAACAATAACACTCTAGAGAAGAGTAGGAAAGTTAATGGAAATTTTTGTTTAATAGCATGTTAGAATTGAAGACGAAATAGGTACCTTCAAACATGGAATAGGTGCTCAGAGATAAAAACATTTTATCATAAATACAACTTATCAATAGTAGACTTAAGCAGGACTTTAGAGATCCACGTTACACTGACAATTTAAAAGTATTTTTTAAAAACAATTAAAATGTGTATAAATATGGAAAGGCAAAAATTTAAACATTCAAAGAACAATACTACCTACAGGAATGCGGAAAGATGTGATAAAGCCCAAGTGTTTTACCAGTTAGGAAGCTATAAAGGAGATGAAAATTTTGATAACCCTTTATAAAGAACTTCTTCAAAAATTAAAAGAGCAGTGAAATTATAGAAGAAATATCCATAAATCTAAATAAAAGTAAGAATTGGAGCTTATGGGATGAAATGTTAACCTATTTTAATTCGGATGTTACAAGTACTAGATAGAAGAAAGCGAGTTAAATGGCCATGATGATAACTGATCAAGGTCTTTTTTTCCCCCTACCATTCTCCACTAAAATATGCATATTACAGGCAATCAAGCTTAAATACTATTTTTGCAAGAAAGCCTCATATTTTAGATATAACTCTGATATAAATTACCCAGCTTGAAAATCCTAATAAAATGGATAACTCTTATTATTTGCATATGCAATGGACAGTGCAAAAAGAAATGAAAAGGCACAACTGTTCATCTTTTAGTTTTGAATCCCTACAAATGATATTGTTTTCAAATACTCAAAGCGTAGTCTTAAAAGATACTTTGGTCAGTAAGTCTCCAAAGGACAAACTGAATCTTAGTTGGGAAGGTAATTAACCAAAGTATAACTAAAGCATGGTAGTAATAGTCAAACAAGTCTCCAGTCCTATTCATAAGCCTGGAACGCTTACCATATAGGTGACCAACCTCATTTAATAAAGGAAGGATATATCAACAAAAATTTGCCTGGTGCAACCCAAGAACATACCTTTTCTAACAACATAAGGACAACAAAAAGTTTTAAAATCTTTCTAAAATCAAACTCATTTTCAAAAGAACATATCTTTAGTTTTGAGAGGTTAAAGTAGTGATGTGTAACAGAATCTATGGTCATAAATATATGATGAAACACCTTATGAGACAGAAGCCAAGACTCAAGAACAAAGTGTTGAATATGAAATGGCAAACTTGAGGATACCCAGAAAGACAATGTATACACAGTGTATATCAATAAACATCTTACCTGTTCACAGTAAAAGGCTGTCGAGAAGGCTGCTGCTTTGGCATACATATTATGCTTGGCGAGCTTCTGTTGGGGCTACCTAACCCTGAACTGCTCATGCTATTTGTCCTGCTAGGAATTCCAATGCCCTGACCAACCTGGGAGTGGTTCATCATATTCCTAGGATTCATAGGCAAAATACCCCTGAAAAAGAAGTCCATTATACTAAATAAGCTCTCTATAATCACTCATTAAAATTCTCTATAAATAATCAGTTGGTCCAACCCTAGAATCTCAAATATATTTTCAAATTGCATTTATAATTTTAATAATTAATTTAATTATTTTGTCTAGTCATTCTAGCTCTTTGAAAAGAAAATCAAAGTAAATGAACAAAAAAAGGGCAAATTATGGTGGAACTAATATAGGGTGATATCTAAGATGAGAACTACTGGTGTGACTATGACATAAAACACAAATGTATTTCACAAATATATTTAGAATAATTTCATTCTAGATGCATGTCATTCTGTCCTCTTCATGTTAATATGCACAATCTATGTCATCTGTTTTATTTTACTCTTACTAAAGCAATGGATGTGTGGTGAGGGAGCAATGATCAGAATTATCTGGGGAGTAATTTTAAATTGTACATCTTCCTTTGAGAAAGAGAGGTGGCTTTTGAAAAAGCTCCCCAGGAAGTGATTAACCCTCAATATCCACCCAATTGACAACCAGTATACTAGCTACAGAAAAAAAAAAAAAAAAAACATTTTGCACTATACTTATCAATTTGCAGTGAAATAAAATGAGCATAGGTATTTTTCTCCTCATTGAAAGGCACTGAACCAGAAAATCAAATAATTACCTTAAAAAAATTAAAAACTTGCTTATTCTACAAAGATACATTTTAAGAAATATTCTGGTCCATCAATAAATACCTGCTTGGAGATGGAGGCGTGTGAAGTGACATTGTTGGTACCCCTGTTGTTGGCGTGACGTGGCTCGGTAACTGAGTGCCTTGTGATAAGCTGCGATTTAACTGAGGGGTATTGTTGCTCATCCCCCTCATAGGAAGGCCTAGTGCACCTAATAAAAAAATTCAGAAGAAGGAAATTCATTGCCATCAGGAATGAAATTGTTATCCATCTTCTGGAGCTGGCAACTTAAAACATTTTTAAATGACCTAACATAATATGCAAATTTTAAATGTATATATTCCATTCACTCCAAATGGACTCTGATTTTAACAAAAAACGTTCTGGTCTGAAATTTAATATTATGAATGTATATCACTTTCATATTTCTATCTTTTTTCTTATTTCCATCTTACAGTAAACTATGTCTATGATTGTAATAAAATGCTACAATATTATGAATAGATACTCCTTTCAAATTTTTTAAAGGCATATATGTAGGTATAAATATGGCTTTAAGAAATCTGGCAATCTTGTGTTTTTATACTTTAATTCACAACTGATGTACACAAAAAGACATTTAACCCCATGTTATTGAAGTAGCTTTAATTTTTATATGATCCTTTAAAAATGCATTTTAGAAAGTCTCTATTATTTATACATATTTCTCAATATTACAATTTTTTCAAACCTGATATAAAATGCCAGCAACTGTTAAAAAAACTCGGCCTAATGTAGCTATAAGAGACAAATATTTAAAACATTTAGAAGATTTCAAAGTATAATGACCTTGTATTTATCTAGTACTCCTGGGACCAGATGCGGGGCTGGATATGTTCTAATAGCTGCATTTTTTAAGAGTACGTAGGGTTTACCATTCAGATACAAAATATTAAAAATTAACCAATTTGAATAAACTTATCTCAGAATGTATAACATTTCCTGACTTTTTATTCAGTAACATGAAATACAAATTATTTTCTTAATGATCCAGAACAATTATTATGGATAGCTAATGTTCTATATGTTTGGTTTTTTTCCCTTTTATCCTTCAAAGTAAGATGTACAGCTGTCACTTATGTAGTCATCATATCTGTCTATAAATCACTCCTTTTCTCCATCTTACTGACTCATACTTTTTAGTGCTTTCTTTTTCTAGTCTGCTAAAGAACGGCATACCAGTCAACCAAATTTACTCTGAACTAGAGATTAAATAAAAGTGATAAAATAGAGTGAAAGTTAATCAGTAAGTAAATAAGTTTAGTGGTAGAGATTTAAGGTGATTTTTTCCCCCTTTTTGGTCTAATTTTGGGTCCAAGAATTTCAGACTTGAAGATTTTTGAAACTATGACCTCCAAACAAATGGAGTACTATATATATGCCATGAATATTTTCCTTCAAATATCTTTGCAAAATTTATCTTTTGGCTTAACAGTGTATCATTTTGTAACCTAGGGATAGCAGTGGATCACAAATATTTCACTGATAGGTTATCTGGAATTTGGCAGCCTCAGAACTCAGCTTGTAGCTTAACTTTGCTTCTCAACTGAATGAAGCCAACGAATCCAATTCAATACAGCTAATACACTCTGTGTACACTCTTTTCACTAACGTTGTGTGAAGACCCAAGCTTGGTTCTGCATTTCTTTAAGACGCCTGAAAGAAACTGGCATAGGCTGGTTGTCGGTTTAGTCACTGCATGTATGTCTAGTCAATGTAAGTTTTGTGCCATGAGAATGCCACTAGCTGCAGCCACTTTCTCTGAATCTGGGGCAAAATAAGGAAGAACAAGAGATTAAAAATCAGCCTATTTAAGATTCTTTCAGAAGAAATCAGTCTTTTCCCTCCCTCAAACACATCAGTTTTCCTCTAGGCCTTCTAGGCACTACCATAATGAGCCACCGAAATGACACTTTTCACTTCACTCATCAAATAAACATTTATTGAGTGCCTACTATGTGATAAGCACTGTGCTAGCTGTTGGGGATATAGCAGTGAACAAGACAGAAAAGGCTCCTATCCACAGGGAGCTTACATCCTACTCCCCAAACATGCTGTCCTAAAGTCAGCTACGGCTGCAATATTCCCACAGGAATGTGTTTCCCACAGTTACTGACCACCAAGAAATGTACAATTTTAGAGCCAGAAGGGATCTTAAAGATAATCTAGTCTGATGTTTGCATTGTACGGATAAGGAATCTGAGCCTCAGGTAAGTTAACCGACTTCTCCAAGGTGACATAAAGAACACAAACTAGAATTTAGATCTCTTAACTCCTAGTGTTCTTCAATAGCAGCACTGTGGGGGCCAACACCACTCTTGATTAGCACCCTTGTTATTACCTACTGAATTGCAATACCTCTCATCTATTTTTCCCCATTTTGAATGTTTCCTTCTCTTCAAACTTTATATGTGTCAGCTTTCTTTCTAGTTTTACTTTTCCTTTCTTTTTCCCTCTCTCTACACATTCATCACTATAAACAGACACTTTCTAAAAATCTAATACCCTTTTGTCTCCCTTTTTTTTTTTTCCTTTTTGTCTTTTTTACTGACCGGTAACGGGATCACAACCCTCGGTGTTGTGCCCGCACCGCGCTCAGCCAGTGAGCGGGAACCGGTCTCCACATGGGATCCGAACCCTCGGCGGGAGCGCCGCCGCACTCCCAAGCGGTGTACTTTCCAGTGCACCACCCGGCCGGCCCTTGTCTCCCTTTTTAAGAACCAATAAGCCCTACAAAACACTCACTGAGATTTGTCCACTCCAACTTATTCTATGCTATACCATGAAAATTTTATAACTTGAGAAATATTTCAGAGACTGATGATTACCTGAACATTAGCCAAATAATTTTTGTAAAAGGAAATAAGAATTGGTAAGGCTATTTATTTAGGGATTGGCATACTTAATTTATAGTGCTAAAAGTACAGAAAGACAGTATATACATATATAATATGTACTATTATATATCTATAGTATAAGTATATATAAAATATGTAGTGGTAAAAGTGGGGAAAGAAACATCTAATAAATTCAAAAGGTCTGAGTTTCATTTTATTGAACTAGGTATGAAAAGGGCAAAAGAAAAGGAGTGCATCATTTCAAACTCGACCACCAATCCTTGAATACTTTAATAGTTATTTTAAATTTAAGAATCAACTTTCTTTAAGACAAAGAATTAATAGCACTGATAGACATACAAAGATTTATTTTTAGAAAACAAAATATGCTAAGTCATTAAATTTAAATTACTTGAGTCAACTGATTACAACAGTAGAGTCAAGGAAGGGAAAACTTTAATCTTTTACTAGTACAGAGACGATCACAGAAAATGATCTCCAAAATATTATGCCAAGATTTGCACATGCAAGCTAAAAAGAAAGAAAAGAACTCAAAGAACTTTTTTTTGGTATAACAAAACTAAGAGGTAAAATTTAAATATGTATGGAAGAGCTTGTGGATGACTGGGAAGACAGTAGAATTAAAATGTTTTGAGCACCTAAGAATCAAGCACTATGCCACTTCATCTCATTTCCTTCTTATAACAATACCATAGAGAAGGTATTCTAAATAGATTTTTACACCTCTTATTTGGCAGCGTGCTAAACAATCAAACAATGAAATTAATTCTTTATTGATCATTTTTCGGAAACTCTGAAGAATATAATCTAAAAAATTACTCCATGAATTATTTTCACTGCACAAAATTATTAACAGCATGAAAAAAAGTCAATCACAGTAACTAAATCCTTGCATATTCATACTTAAATAAAGTCCCCTAAAACCATTATTAAGGAGAGAAGAAGAAAGTTGATGCAAGGAGGCTTAAAGTGTCCCCTCTTCCATTCCCAAAGCAGCCAACCTCCTCTAGGAACTCACTGTCATGCCCACAATAAAAAAGATAGCAGTCCTAAATGGTGTTTTATCTCAATGTCTTATTATCTCCAACCTGTCCCTTGTACTTACTTAGCTGGTTAAACTCCCCTGTAAAATTATTTCATTATGCAGTTTCCTTCCTTAAATTCAAAAGATTTTAGAGACAGAAGAGAATTTAGAATCACCCAACTAAGTTACAGATGAAGAACTCATACCAGGCATTAAGTGACTTGCCCAAGATCACAAATAATAAAGCATAAAAATAATGATCCAATTTCTTGACTCCTATTTCAATGATCTTTGCAACCAATATTGCTTTCCACTTTTTACAGCAGTTCCTAACATTTGCATTACCCTTGGAATTTTAATTTCTTCTTCTCGTCTCCAGAAATTGTGAGTTAGTCTGAGCTTGGGCAATTGATGGGCAGTGGGATTTTAAAAACTCCCCAGGTGTTTCTAGGGGTGCAACTAGGATTAGAAACCAGTGTTTCACAGTACTATATCCAATCACAGTTTTTTCCTAACCTCAATTAATATTTTACTCTGTTTATGTACTACATATTTGATTTATAATCACCTTCCTGTTTTTCCTATTTCCTTCCTCAAATCTGTCCCTGTACCTTACTATTCATGATTCTCCCCACCGAAAATACTTTCCCTTCCCTGTTCTACAAAGATACAAAAAACTATTTAAAAATAAATAAATTAGTAAGTGCTATGAT